TACTGTACATCATTACGAAGAAATGAAGACTACAAAACGAACCTTATTGATAACCACTATCAACGAATGAATAACAACAACGACGACAAATAAAAATAACTACAACGATTACTCCTACCTAATTAATCATGAGAGACTCCAAAATAAATAGTTCCGAAACTCAACAATTACCCTCAAAACCACCGAGAAATGACGACAGTGATGCAGAAGATCCAGTCCATCTACAGCAGTTTACCTTCGCATCTCATGTCACCATCACAACCCTTTAGCTCAAAATATTATTCGAGACAATCAACCCCAAGAAGACATAAATGAAGACATCTTCAGCACCCCTTTGTCCCGTAATCGTTTGAAGACGAGGACGTTTTTTATCCTAAGGGAGGAGGATTTACATCTGACAGTAACCATTTGTTAAAAACAGTGGCCGCAGAATAACAAGTAAACAGTGTAAATCAGCAAAAGTACACAAAGAGTAAGTTAAAATTACTAACTAAATCGCTAGGACGGAGTACGCAATGTCCTGCTGATTCACCACCACAACTTACTCGATTAATAAAAATCCCCGATTGAGACTCACTCAACTACAACTAATAACCCAAACAAAATGGATCCACCAGACATAAGTCAAGAAGTACTAATCACGAATATTGCCAGACTTGAAGACACCCTTTCAAAATAAGAAAAGGTGCTAGAATTCATGCAGGAAGAAAATTCGAACCTCATAAAACTTCTGGAAAATCAACAAAAAACGATTCATCCAAAAACCCCAAAAGACCATTACACCACCAACATCACTAACAACAACATCTGACCAACATATAGAACTCTCCAACGACCATCAACCTCTTCCTCCATCTACGCACAAACGCAAGAAATACAACTAAAACCCGCTCTTAACACAATTGAAAACAGGCATCATAGAAAACAACAACAGATACGAAATCCTGTCACAAGAACCACAATAATCCATCGATCCGCCAACCCAATCAGGAAATGACGAAAATATACCCAAAAAAACCCTCCAGTGGTCCTCAGGGAACCCCATAAATGGAACTACATATCTTCAATACTTATCCAGAAAAATATCTAATACTCAAAGGCGAAGGCCAGCACGGACGGAATCATCCATCTGGTGAAACAAACTTCAGGGCGATGACCAAAATATTCGACGACAACCAAATATAATACCAAACCTATAAACTCAGAAACGAGAGACAACTGAAAATCGTCATGAGAGGAATCTCAACATCCATCAGAATCGAAGAAATTGCTAAAGACCTTCATTAACAAGGCTGCCCGGAAATTAATGCAGCCAGAATGTCAAATCAAAAGGGACAAGAAATATCATTAGTAAAAATAGAAATAGACAAAATCTATAAGTCCATCTACAATCTTAAGCACTGCTGCAATCTTGACGTTACCATCGAAAAAGTCATTACAGAAAGCAGACCACAGAACAATGCCATCGCTGTCAAAAATTCGGCCACTCTCAAGCGCGCTGTAAAGCTGAATACAAATGCTTAAAATGCGCAGGCAACCATTCCACCCACCTGTGCACCGAACCAGAGACAACATCAGCAAAATGAGCCAACTGCAACGGAGACTATCCTGCCAACTTCAAGGGCTGTCTTGAAAATCCAAAAAATAAAACAGAAGAATCAACAAAAATCACATCACTAAAGGGGACCACAACAAACAAGATCTATCCAAAATCATTGGTGATATGTTCATCCAATACTGCCAACTGAACCCAATTCCAGAACAAACTACAAAATTCATCAACACTACGAAACTATTACTACAACAATCCATCCCATAAAGTACACCCAAAAGAGAATACCAAGCAACTTTAAAATCGCACACTGGAACGCGCACTCGCTTCCAGGCAAAATAAACCAATTGAAGTACTTCGTTACTTCACACAACATAGATATTATGGGCATCGGGGAAACGTTCCTCAAATCTGCAGAATACCCACGCATCCTAAACTACAAAATGTACAGAAAACGACCGCACACAAAGCGAAGGGGGAGACACGGCACTATACATGAAGAACATTACAGAGCACTTTCTCCCACTCTTCCACCCACACCAAAGGAAAACACTATAGAAGCTACAGGCATCCAGCTCGAAATTAAAAACATTGGAACAACTCAAATATATATATTGTCCACCAATGAATCCTAATCAACCACCACTGCACGTGGACGAAATAAACAACCTACTAAGCAGCAAAACTACCAAAATCATAATAGGTGATCTGAACAACAAAAATCATGAATGGCACTCCAGACCAGATAACACAAGAGGAAAATATCTAAAGCAATATAAAGACCAAAAACAAATATTAATCATTACACCAACAGACCCTACCCATCCACATCCCCACCAATACCTCGGACATATCGGAGATATCCTCCATCGACGACAGCGCTCTAACCCCAGACCACAACCCAATCATCCTTCGCGTCGGTTCCTACCTGGAAAAGGACATACTGCAAATACAAACTACTAACTGGGAAAACAATAAATCGATCCTCTAAGAAAAACTATAAAACTTTCAACCTACCATCTCAAACATCGACGGCCTAGACCGAATAACAAGCAAACTGGAACAAATTATCCAGGATACCATACAGAGATGCACACCCATCAGGATAAAAGAAATCAAAGGCACATACATTCCCAACTCCATCATCGATCTGATAAAAGGAAAATGCAAAGCGGAGAAGAAGTACCACCAAACATACAATCCTCAAAACAAATAAACAGACTTACAAATGAAATAAAATCGAGACTACAAGACTTTCACAACTCCACTTGGGATGAAAAACTCAACGAAGCAGAAAAATCACACACCTCACTATTCTCTCTCTCCAGAAGATTAAAGAAGACAAACAGTGACATAGATCCATTGAAAGCCGAAGACAACTCAGTAGCAATAACCAACCAAGAAAGCCTGAACTATTAGCAAAACACGTCGAGGCACAATTCAAACCTTATCCAGTAGACCATATCCTCCAGAATATTAACTACGAAACCCACGTCAACCATCTGGTTCAACAAATAATAACTGAACCAACTCCGGACCCTCAAATAACAGCCAGTCCCGAAGAAATAACGGAATATAAATAACGCAAGAGCAATAGGAAAGCACCAGGACCAGACGACATAACAATAAAAACCTAAAAGAACTCCGATCTAAAGGAATTGACATAATTATGATTCCTAAACCCGGAAAACCTCCAGACGTCCCAGGAAGCTACCATCCCATCAGCCTTCTTAAAACAATAAACAAAGTAGCAGAAGCAATCATTCCTGATCACCAATTTGGATTCAAGAACAATCACTCCACCACCCAGCAACTAACAAGAGTCACTACATATATAACGACCGGCCTCAACAAGAGAAAAACAACCACTGCAACCTTGCTCGACATTGAGAAAGCCTTCGATAAAGTTTGGATCGAAGGACTCATCCTCAAACTAAACATCCTAAACATCTCCAAAAGATTAATAAAAACTCTTTACTCTTACCTCACTGATTGGCAATTCTTCATAAAAATTGGTGACATCAGATCTCATAGAACCAACTCTATATCTGCTATATACCACCGACATTCCTACCAAAGATAACATTTTTATCGCACAATACGTCGATGACACTCTCATCGCGGCACAGACCCAAATCCGCATGCTCACCGTCAAATGGTTAAACAGCTACCTCACTGAGTTTGAAAAATAGCTTAATGCCTGACGCATCGAAATCAATGAAACTAAAACTGAAGCCATTTGTTTCAACAGAAAACAGAGGATCCCAGACAACGACGTCTTCAAAGGTACCAACAGCCACCTCAGAAATGAAATAAAATATCTTGGCATCACCCTGGATAGAACTTTGAACTACAACAAATATATCCACAAAATAAAAGGACACGCAGCCTTCAAGCTCCTCTATTCACTACTGTGCAAAAACAGCAAACTAAGCAACAATGTCAAGCTTATGGTAGAATCTACAAAGTGTACATACGTCCAATAATAACCTACGGTTCCATCATCTGGAAACACGCAAAATCCACCAAAACGCTCTACAGCCTGCAAAACGAAATAATAAGAATAGCTCTAGGTGCCCCATGGTACGTTAGAAACTCTCAACTACAACGAGAAATGAAACTCCCTCCATTTGAGGACTTTCTCAAATAACTCATAACCGACATGACAAAAAACTTGGACTTTCTCCAAAACTCCGAGATCGCCTCACTTAATATAACAACTAAAAGACAAAGGAAATCTACGTTAAGATGCCAATACAATGAAAGTTTCTCACAAGCCACAATATATACGATGAATATGCAAAGAAGCCAGTCTCCCGTATCTATGCAACAGAAGGAACGAACTAGTTAATTTAACACTCTAACGGTCTACTCTACAGGTCAAACTTATGTTACTTTGTTCATTTGCCATCATTATGCGTAATTATTAAAATAAATAAGGTGTAATAAAGGTTTCTGAAAATCGAACCAAATAAATGTGTCAAAACAGTGTTTAAAAACTCCACTCGAACATCGTACGTTTTAACTCGCAGGGTGAATTAGGACGTAACGTAATTATGCTCACCGTACAGCCGTTTTTATGCCACGGTCTTTCAGAAGTCACAATATCTCTTTATATATGGTGTAGTCGGAATTGGCACAAATGTGGAAGCAACATTCTTTATAATGCAAAAATGCATAATTGACTATTATGAAGCAACATAATGATTAAAAGCCGAAATATTTGTCATATTTGCCACGCGAATAGAACTGCGATCCAACTTAAACAAAAAATTGGTCTCTTGCACGTAGCATTTTTCATTTGTGAATCCCTTTGTAACTGGTTCGTTAGACTTATTGTTAGTTACTCAGCGTAGAGGCATTCCTATGCAAAGATTTAAGCTTATTTTCTTGTTATTGCAATATTTTGATCATCTTTTTAGTTATGACGTCATGACATTTAACTCACCTCTACTAGCGCGGTGGTATTGTAATCTTCTTCTGAACTGAACGTTGTGTTCGAGTCGGTATTTGTCATTGATGTCGCGTCAAGCGTGGCATCTAAATACGATAAATTTAAGTTGCTGTAAATCGTTGTATTGATTGCACTGACGGTAGTTGTCTGAGAAGATACTGAGTGATCATTCTGAAGCTGATAACAATGATAAAATGATTCTTCTAGTAAAAGGAATATGATAGCTTTAAACATTGTTTCTTCACTTCAAATCGGTACTGTGAGGTTAATGGAAGTTACAGCAACTCAAGGACCTACAATAAAAAGAAAAATTAGAATAAGAACATTAAAAATAAAATTGACAAGTTTCACTTAAGTAAGTTATTCAAAGCTACACGACAATAAACGCCTTATAACGACTATGGTAGCTACACGATAATAAACGCTTTATAACGACTATAGTATTAGAAAATACTTTCAAAACGCAGCACTGGGGACGTTTTATAAGCGTCGTTTCCATCAAAAGCTACATTTTCAATACTTTCCTTAATTGATTTAAAAGAATAAAATTAAGTGCCCTTAACCTAGGATACGATATAATCCATAATAAAAGCATAACGATCTCTACCGTGTCAAATTAAACTAAATAAATTAAAGTTCAAATTGTACAAACCAAGCAGTAAGTGTTTATATATTAGGTACGTTATAAAAAGGATAAAATTGCGAGGATAAGATAACCGAGAGATAGGTTGTAGGTAAAGTAATAAGTAAATACAGTGAAAATGCATTAAGAAGCTAATGCGCCTTAATGAAAGATAAATCGTTTCAGAAGAGGATGTAGTGTACTTTACACTAAGGGATGGGTAACTTTCTATTAATTTATTGAATCGTGACTGTTAAAAATAATACTAGCGATGCTATATTCGTACACACTTTATTTCACCAAAAAAAAAAATAAGTGTTAATTATTATAACTCTAGGGCACAGTTAATTTCATTGGAAAATACAAAAATTTATTTTATATAATTGATAAAGATATTTGATACTTTGTGAAGCTCCATTATCACTTACTTTTTTATTATTTCTGTAATTTTTGAATACTTCAATTTAACGTTACAAATAAAACACTTTTTATTGTTTTTGGTCTTTATTAGGACATTTTCAAGAATCAAATAGTCGAACAAGCAACAAATAGTGTTTTATTTCTAACATTGAAGTGAAGCATTAAAAAGGTACAGAATTAATAAAAAATTAACTGATAATGAAGCTTCACAAAGTATCAAAGATCTTTATCAATTATATAAAATTAATTTTTATATTTTGCAATGCCCTACAGTTATACTTACAGGAATAAAAAATTAAGTTAAATTTATTTTAGTTTACAGAGATCCAATCCATTATCTGAAAACTACAGAAATACACTTATTTGTGAATATAATTGATAGGCATATATTCGGGTTCGACCAAATCGGACATGACGTCTGGTGGCGGACGACAGGAGAGATCTTAGATTGCATTAAATGAAATCCAATGCTTACTTAACTAAAAACATTGCAATTATTTGTTAATTTTTACTTTATTCGGAATGGGAAGTGTTCGATTCTCACCCAGAAAGAAGTCCAAAGCAAGATTAAGTTAAAGTATGGTAAAAAATTGAATAAGTCGTTCAAGTGTAAATTTAAGTGTAAGATTTTATGAATTTCCTGAGAAAGACAAACGTTCTATTTTTTGTGACATTCTTTCTGGAGAATCGGGACATGTTGATCAATTAGAAGTTTGAAAAAAAGTATGGAACGTTAAACATACTTAACATACTAGACAAAATAAGAGTGCCGCAACAATCTGTTTAAATATTTGCCGTAGGCCAGCCTTACAAATACAGAATTTATTTTGTCTGTGTTTTCTGCATTCATTTCGTGAGATTTAGCTTTTATATATCACTTGTTTGCATATACAATGTGTTGATTTTTATTTATTTTATTCGACATTACTTGCTTGACTAGTATTAGTATCACTTGTTATTACGTATTGTCCACATCTTATCATATGTTTCGCTTTTAAAATCATCTTAATCTCAACAAAATTACGATTAGAAGGCATTGTCTTCGCTCCATCACATATTTGTTTAATATTAATCGTTTTAATTAAGTTTTATCACAAATAACCTATTTTAATATGTACATGATGCAATCTTGTAGTAGCAACGTTTATGTCAGGGAACCTGAACAACAGGTAATTTAAGATTTTCGAGTGATTTATAAGACAGCAATTACGTTTGACTCTTATTCCTAAAAAGTAATCGCAATCAATACTTGCCTATTACAGCTTTGACATTTGTTAGATTTGCTGCTAATATCGTTCTAACGGGCACTTCATGCCTGGAAATGTACCCTACAAACCTGTATTGCCTATTTCTTATCAAGTTCCATAACGTACTCTTTTCTACTCTTTTTAATACTTCCTCACATACATATTATATAAGATTAATTTATTAAACGTAAAAGTCAAGATATTCGACTAATTTTATATGAAAATGTAAAGCAAGCAACTATGACTTACTTGAACCAATAAAGAAGCTACCACCTAACGCTAATGTGAACTTCAAAAAAAAGTATTTTAGTAAATCCTTCTTTCTTATTTTTAAGAAAGTGCTTTTCCGCGCGTTAATAAAGTGAACGTCAAGTAAACAAGCGGAGAACGTCTCTTGAAATATTTCTCTAGGTAAAAGAAAACGTTTTCATTTCATTCCACTGTTTTTTCCATAGTCTGCAATTTCTCTAAACATTAAGCACACCTTTTTACATTTCGCTTCATAATTTCATTTTTCGTTCAAATTACTACAATATAAATTACTGACTATTTCACAGTTAATTTCCGACCAAAAAATAATTATTAGTAACAATAGTGCTGTTTCTTTTTATTTCATGTGATCTATACCATCTACATCAGACCTGCCATAAGTATCATAAAACAAAAGCAAAAGTGCAATGGCTCTTATTATAAACATGACAATATATACAAAATAATACTACACAAAATATAAACATTAAAAAAGTGCTTATATATGTAGGAATGCTTCTTTTTTTAGTTTAATATTATCTAAACAAAGTAGAAAGATAGATAGCTTTATTAAAAACATTATGTTTTATATATACAAGGTGCAATTACATTTACATTTACTTATTTTCTCTTTTCTACTTTCTCGTTTTTCTGCTATTTTCCTCCTTATTCATATTTTTCTCATCTTATTTAGACCATCCTTTCTTTCCATTTTTATTAATTTTCTTCTCCTGCTATTTTTCTCTTCCACAAGATTTCTCTCATCCTTTTCATGTTGTTCACTCCTTCCAGTTGAGCTTTCCAGTCTTTTGCAGAACTTCCCGTTTCCCCACATCGCTCAAAAATATGTTCAAGCGTCTCTGGCTCCTTTTTACATAATCTGCATAATTTCTTTTCTTCTTCCTCCCAATACCTTGACGCTCTATTTTCGCTTCCCAATCTGAATCTTGCAGTTAATTGTAGGTGGTTTTTTCTCTTTACTCCTTCATCTTTCAAATAATGAGGTTTTTCTTCTCCTTCTTTCCATAATATCTTGTACTCTTGAGCGAATTTCATGTTTCTCATTTTCTCTCTCCTTCTTTGTTTGTCAATATCTTTAGTTAAGTTTTCTAGTTCCTTCCATACATTTCTCTCATTTTCCAGCTTCCATATATAATGTTTGATTGACCATCCNGGGATATAAAGCAGAGGATAGCGCAGGGTCGTGTCGCCTTTAATAAAAAGAAGTCACTTCTATGCTCGCGAACGGTTAATTTAAAAATTAGAAAAAGGTTGTTAAAGGTGTATGTTTGGAGCACGGCATTGTACGGGTGCGAAACATGGACAGTGGGAGCGGCGGAAAAGAAAAGGTTAGAAGCGTTCGAAATGTGGTGTTATAGGCGGATGATCAAAATATCGTGGGTAGAGAAGGTAAGAAGAATATTAGAGGCAGAAACAGGAGTTAGGAGGGGTAGAGGTAGACCTACATTAGATTACTGTTCGCGAATAGTAAAGGATGTACCGTTGGAAACCTCTCGAAAAACGAAGAACGAATATGACGTTAAGTAAAGGTTCCTTTGAATTTTCTAGAAGTTACCACCGGTCATAAGTTTTCTCAGCAAACCATATATCATTAGAAAGCTCACAAAGAAAGAATAATAAATCCGAAGAGTGGATGACCTTAATAGGTTGTATATCATTGTAAAAGTGAAGAAGGAAGAGCGACTTTGCTAGATTCGAGGCACATCATAGAACTCTCAAGAAGAAATTAAAATATTTCATGCTTTGCATGTTACAACCAGGGGGTACCAAAGTAAAAATGGAGGAGCAAATAATGATTGTAAAATTAGATATAAAGATGAAGTAAGAAGAAACAAAAATGGGACAAGAAGAATTAAAAATAGCTCAAGGTGATATCCAGCAAGAAATGAAAGCAGATATAAAGAACATACATACAAGAAGTAATACATTTAAAAATAAAGAAAGAGGAGAAAAGATATAGAACAATAAGATGGACAAAAATAGAAATATGAAGATTGGAAAAACTTTGACGATTGTTGTAGAAACAAAATAGCTCAACGCCGAAACACGACGCTGTAGTTGTCCGAAGCACTTTTCGGTAACAAGGTTACCTTCTTCAGGGACTGAAGTGAAATTAAACATAATTTGATATGTTTCACGAAATTTATTATGAGTCGACATTTCTTTAGGGAATAGCTCATTATCAATAGTAAAATTGTACTCTAATCGCCTATGCCGAAATATAATCTTTCCCTTTCCTCTTTGTATTCATTTTTTATTATTTGTAATTCATCTTTTAATTCATGATTTTCTTTCCTTAATTCTTTTAGATCAGTTCTTATTTCCCTTATCAGCTTGCATGACTCATCGTATTGTTCCATTTCCGTTTCAGACCCTTTTTCCTGCTCACACTGCATGGTAACTTGCGTTTCTGAATTAAATGTCGTTGCAGGTTTTTTGCTGGTTTGGCAGATTTCCACTTTTGTTGTGTCTTCTCTTTTTCTTTTAAAAAAGTCTGTTATACAGCCTACACTTTTTACTCTTGGTTGGAAGGTGCCTCTAATAGTTCCGTATTGATTTTTATTATCGATTTCCTTTGACATAACCTCTTGCTTGATTTAGTAAATGCAATTTCTCTCCTACCTTATCTTCTACTTCTCTGGGATGTTCTCACCTTAGGGTGTTCTTTGCTATATACCTCTTTATCTGCTGCACTCTTATAGCAAAAATTCTACTGTATTCTTATTAAAAACTT